CCATTTGGTGAAAATTTTCTGCTCGTGTGCGCCCTCGCACTGGTTCGATCGCTATAGACTAAGCCTTAGGGGAGAGGAGGACTCAGAGGTGAGTAAAACACCCACTCTATGAACTCACATACTTCATCTTTTGCCACACGATGCTCAATTTACTCACATCGGAGTCTCCCTTCTTAAGAAAAAGCTTAGCCTTAAAGGCAAAGTTCGGGCTCAGACCCACTTAATGAGCCTTTACGGGCTAGAAGCGCTGGGTACGCAAGTGCAAAGGTCGCGTCACTTCCCTACTTCGAAAAGCGTCACTTAGACGCTAGGCGCCATGAACTTCTAACAGACTCCACCAAACTTAACATGGTCCGCCCACCGCTCGATATCTTGTCTGCGTCGCTATTGATCTGCTATGCTCTCTCTTCTCGGACTTCTCTACCGCTCTCCGCGCTCACATTATCTCTCATCTCCCTGCCGGCCTTTTGAACTTCTCCGCAGCGTAGAGCAAAAGGCTCGTATTTCCTGTGTATTTCACGATTTTTTTCCTTTTTTCTCCACTGGCGGTCCACCTCCTACCCCTACTTTCACATTTGAGTGGAATTACCTCATCAATTTAATCCTGAATCTTGCCTTTAATGGAGGATTCCACGGAAGTGGACGAGGGAGGAACTTGCCTAGTGGAGGGACAATTGGACCCTACAAGGGTACAGATCAACACGCAATTCGCATCAAAGAATGAGGCCCTTGCATGGCTTTTGGCGCGTTGGCGGGAACGCCCACCGACTATCTAATCACCGCAGGTCTATACGTGGCGAGTGATTAGATAGCAGAGAGAGCGTAGTGTTGAAGAGGGCACAGCGATGAGAGTCGCATCAATGCGCAAATCAACGGGCAAGGAAGGGGTCCCATTTCTCGGGTTTCGGGCCGTTTCAAATGGTTTCTTCTTCATCCCTGCTCCACTGACCACCTCTACCCTTATTTCCAATGAGCTACCTTTTGAACGTAAAACTGCTTTTGAGCACTATAAGTGAGAGAGCTCAGGAGAGCAGGAAATATGCGTAAAACAGCGCTTATTCAAAGAGTAGTGTCATATTCGTAATCAGGAGACCAAATGAGCCCTGTCTACAAGTTTGAACCGTGGGAAACAGCCGTCGTGACAAAGTGGCGCCAACTGAAAAATGAGTATCGTACTCGGTACCAGGGTATCTAAGTACCCCCATAGACGAGGTTACCGGAGATACTTACTTACTTACTTAGATACTTAGATGGCTCGTCTTCACTCCATGTGCGAGCCACCGCACAGATTCCATTCGTTTCGTCCTCTCGCTACCGTCATCCACGATACCTTTCTTCCTTGACGGCCACGAGTTTCCATAGCGGACTTCAGAACGTTAACGAACACGTCGGCCCATCTAATAGGTGGTCTCCCTAGAGGACGCTTGTGGTCTCTAGGGATCCACTCTATTGTCCTTCTCGTCCACCTGTCGTCAGTTCTCCTCATGATATGTCCGGCCCACCTGTGTTTTGCCTTGTAAGCGTATTCCACAGGATCTCTGAGTCGAGACATCACCCTCATATCTGAACTACGAAGTCCTGCTCGATGTTGTGAGCGCCTGTTGTATTTTAGAAGACACCTCTCTAACGCTCTGTGCGTTACTCGAAGCGTATTCGTGGTGGCATTCGTATCGGCCCACGTTTCTGCAGCGTAACAGAGCGCAGGAAGCACTGTTTGATCAAAGAGATGGGCTCGCAGGTCTACATCTGAAAGATGGTCAGTGGCCTCTCTGATAGACCCGAATGCAGACCAGCCCGCTCTCTTTCTCCTGTCCAGTTCCTCCTTGAGATCATTGTTCATGTTTATCGAGCGTCCTAGGTACACGTACGAATTGGTTTCCAGTATCTGCAAACCATTTATCGTCATGTGATGTTCTTCGCACCAGGAGTTCTTCATAAACTGTGTCTTCTTCCGATTGATTCGTAGTCCAATTCTACTTCCAGCTTCGTTAAGTTCGTTGAGCATCGTCTCTGCTTCAGTGATAGAATTCGAAAATAAGACGATGTCGTCTGCAAATCGAAGGTTGGATAGGAATTTTCCATCCACTCGTATGCCCCTCTCGTCCCAGTCGAGCGACTTCATGATCCACTGCAACGCCGCGGTAAACAGCTTCGGCGAGATAGTATCGCCCTGCCTGACGCCCTTCTCGATGGGGATGGTTAAAGGACGGTCAAACAGTTGTAGCGTCGTTGAGCAGTGTCTGTAACAGTCAGCTAAGATGTTAACATAGGATGACTCCACTCCTTGGTCGACCAGCGCTGACAGGATGGCGTTCGTTTCGACGCTGTCAAAGGCTTTCTCGTAGTCGACAAAGGTCAGAACGAGAGGCATATGGTATTCACGACAGAATCTTTACTCACGACAGTCTGGATGTGGTCCATGCAGCTGAATCCCTTGCGGAACCCAGCTTGCTCTACTGGTTGCGCTTCATCCAGTGTACTCGAGATGCGCGTTAGAATGATCTTCGTAAAGAGCTTGTAGAGCACGCTCAACAAGCTGATTGGTCGGTAATTACGAAGATCTTCTCTGTCACCCTTCTTGAATAGAATGACAGTGCGCGAAGTTCTCCACTGGTCCGGAATCCTTCCCTTTCGAAGATAGGACGTCATATGGGCTGCCAAAATGGCATGAAGTGAGTGTTTCCCTGCTCTAAGGAAGTCGACCGAGATCTTATCGGTATAACTTCCTTAGAGCAGGGAACGGAAGATAATTGTGATTTATGAGCAATGGAATACGGTCTCAGGACAGCGTTCACCGTGAGCCTTGAGTCAGCGTTATTGTAGTGATGTTGGAGCTACGAAGTTATACGATCTCCTCCTTTTTACCTTCTTCAGATGGCTTAGTCCCAATAAGACTCAAGTGTGTGCTTTTCCAGCTACGCCCTCACCCTTTGGTTGACAGAAGCCTTGTAACCATGGAATAGCGAGTAAGTTCAGAAAATCGTCCGACGCCCCTCCCTCATTTCGAGGGGTGGAAAGGATTTTTGAATCGGTGGGCTCAGAGTTGCTATTCATTCTTTTGGCGGTATCTAACGATACCTTGCGACTTTTATAAATTTCGTCTTATTAGTCTGTATTAAAGAAAATAGCCTGCGTAATCGGCTTGTTCCTCAGAAGGGTTCTCCTCTTCTGAACAAACAACTAAATGATTTGTATGGAAGCAGGTTGTCATCGCTAATGCGCGAACCCACTTGGACACTGGGAGGCCGCTTCTGGGCTTGAACCTTGTGAGCAACAAAATGGAGACAGCAAGCTTTTACTTTGGGGCCGGAGAACGCCACATTTGAGACCATCTATGTAACCGGCTGTACGTGGCGACACAACTTCTTTTAGACCTTGATACGGTAGTCCTCTCGACTCATTATTCAGGCGATGCGATCGTGTATCACCAGGGCTATGAGTCAGTACGATGCGAATGTCCAGGGTGTCGAACGATGTACCAGCGACTCGACAGTGGAAGGAAGAGACTCAGACACTCTCTCGCTCTCTCATGCCCTCGTGAGCCCGGGAAAGTAGTGAAAGTGTCCGTGCGAAAGGCTTCCGCCAGTTTCAGACTCTGTCAATTCGCTAGTTTTCGTTCGAATAGTGGTGCATAGTTGACCAGCTGGCGCATTCGAACCGCTGGCGCATCGTTCGAACCGCCAGCGCATCGTTCGAACAGCTGGCGCATTTTGTCGCTCAAACCCGCGATTCGCTAGCGAGTTCATGGGTTCGCGAGTGATGAGGTACCGCTCTTCGTGAAGGCTATCCAAATTCCTGTCCGTGCGCGAATTTGTGTGTTGTCGTAACTTAATTTGCCGCTTTGGTATTGATCGAGGCAACTTTGGTCATTTAATGAGAGAGATGCAGGATGTAGTCGGTGTTGGCTTGTCCGAAATTTAAGTTGCATCTGTGGTTGGCCGGAGAAAGTAATGAGTACTATTCAGCTGTTTGCGTCTGTTAGGATTGGCCATCAGATGATGAAAAGTAAATTTTTGGGTACTACTCAGCTAGGGTGGGGGTACCAACGCGGCGACGACGCGTCTATTTCGTTTGCAGTTAAGGTCAGTCATGGAGTTTCTCTATGTATTTCGCCGCACCATGGCAGTTTCGAATAGCGCACGTGGGACTAAGGTCGGAGAGGAAAGGGCGGACCGCCACGCGTGGTCCCCCCCAACTAGTTTAGCACAAAGTTCTGACCATGATTTCTCACAGGTGCGAAAAATTCTTCGAAAAAAACTGACGAGTTGTTGTAGATCACACAAAATTATCTTATGAAGTTATACTTCTTTAATATCACATTTAAAACAAATATCACACATTATATTGACGTCGACCAGGTTGACATGAGCCTATGACCTATTCCGCACAGTGATATGCTCGAGTTATCGATTACATCGATTGCGTCTCTTGTGCATTTACGGACCTCGTCACAGCTACTGTCCTAGCAATGTGTTGGTGACTTCTGAGATGAACTGGAAACCGTTGGCTTGTGACGGGAGCACGGTTGGCATCGGATATTCAATCGGAACCTGTAATCTTGATCAGTTAGCAGATTAATTCCAAGGCAAATTCTACGGCAGTTTTATGGGCGGAGTCAATTGGCACGTGGGATCAATTGGCATGAGGGATGGGCACGCATATTTTCTGAATACGGTAGGCATGAATGTGTGTGAATGGGGACTGCTGCTCGCTGCTATGGTGTCACAAGAATCGAGAAAATTTGTGAGCCAGGAATGTGCCAAGCCAGGGGGAAGGGTAGTCACTGCGTGGAAAGCTGGAATATACTCCCTTTCAAAAAACGAGAAGAGCGTCGGGTGCAGACCATACACCACAAGTGACGACGGCCTCCACAAAATGTAATGTTTTCTGCCAATGAAATGATTAGCCTGTTGCAGTTGTATTCTATCAGTTGTCACTAATTACAACTATCATTTACCAAAAATCAGCTATCACTATGAACCACTACTAACCAGATTTACTTGGAGGCCGTCGTCACTTGTGGTGTATGGTCTGCACCCGACGCTTTCTCGTTTTTGAAAGGGAGGGTGTGTGAGTTACGTCTTGCCACGTCATGGCAGCAGTCCCCAATTACACACATTTCGCGCCTACCGTATTCAAAAAATTCGACGTGCCCATCCCACTTGTATTGCATCCACTTTCTTTCTCATTTAAAAAGCTGGGAATTCACTAATGGAAAGAATGTTGCCAAGGGACTCTGCTTGTACGTTCACCATGGAATTGCCTTTAAATTCGACACGGTAACGGCTGAAATAGGTACCTTGTTGTAGTCGACAGCGAGCGGATAACCATGCGAGAGATCTTTGACGAGGAACTGAGAGGTGTCTTCCATGTTCGTTAGACTGACGCTATTGCTCATATGAGAATGACCTGAATGAAAGAATTGATGGCGGCTTTGTGTTTGAGGAAGGGGGGAGTGGTAGAGGGGGTATTGTGGTACAGCAGTACGGTCGATGTCTGAGTTTGCGAATCGAGCTGGATTCGAGCATTGCGTCAGCGAATCGACCGATGCACCAGCGAGTCGAACTATGTACCAGCGACTCAACACTGCTTGAAAGTGGCGGAACCAACGTTAAAGGAAGTCCCACTGCTTTCAAACTGTGTCTTCCTTTGAAAGCAACAGTCCCAGCAGGGTGGGCGTGGTCGGAAACGGCTGCAATCCCCTCGGCCGATTCCCACTTCGGAGCTGTTCAGCCCCTAGTCAAGAACGTAAGAAGTGTGACTGAACAAAAACTCACCTTGGAAAGCCGCTAGGGAGGGAGCTGAAGTGGGCGTGGTCGGAATCGGCCGAGGGGATTGCAGTCGTTTCCGACCACGCCCACCCTGCTGGGACTGTTGCTTTAAGTGGACTTCCTTAACATTGGGTCCTGCCACTTTCCAACAGTGCGAGAGCGCTGGTAATTAACTTCGAATCGCATGGTGCGTCGGTCGATTCGCTGGCTCAAAGTTCGATTCGCACTGTGGCAACGCTCGGTATCCAGCGATTCGCAAACTATGACATCGGCCTACGTCTCGCCTACAGTAATCCCAATTTTTGCAGAAGAAGAGAGCTTTGATGAGGAAATTTGCTTGCGCAGGAAAGGAGCTAGATGAGTATCACTTATTCTCAAACTTCTCTCAAGGAAAGTGTTTGTTTGTTCGAAGTGCATGGCTATTCCGCCACTTTTACCAAGATCACCCCCCCCTCCCAACTACCCTTGTGCACAAGTGATAGCTTGTCGCAACTTTAACTAAACATCATGCCGGAAAACAGATGCGGGTCGAATGTGGACCACACAACACAAGTGATGACGGCTTCCCACAAAAATGAAAATGTTTTCTGCCTATGAAATGATAGCAGATTGCTATGGTATTCAATCTGTTGTCTAGTTAGCAGTGGAGGAGCCATCTCTCAAGCCTGTCATTATGATTTGTAGTAACCAGATTTTCTCACAGCCGTGGTCACATGTGGTGTGCGGTCTGCACTTGACGCGCATCTGGTTTCCGAAAGCAGAGTTACGTGTCTACTCTGCACTTGAAGTAAGATAAAAAATAAAGGATAAAGCATTTGCCGTTGATCAATCCCTTTTGGGATGCGGCACGCATTCTACTTCCATTTGTACATTCGCAGTGGCGTTTGAATGCGATGTGGCCTATACAATGACTTGCGGGGGCCAGCCGATGTTCAAGTCAGTGTTTTTATCCTCCCAGACAAGTCTGGTACCAATTAACCGACCCCGGAGGGATGGAAGGCTTGGTTGGCCCGGGCGACTCACGACCCAGGATTTGATCCCGGACCGCTCGCGTGGTGAGCGCGCCACTTGTCACTACACCACTTCCGCCCTAATGAATGAAGAAAAAATATTGGCTGTATAACTAGAGGTATAGCGCCGACAACCTAAGGAAGTTAATCTTTCATTGGAAATTATTAAAAGGCCACAACTCAGGCACGGATTTGCGGGGTAAGAGCGATCGATAACGGATGTGAGTGTGCATTGTTGAATGGAAATGGAAGAAACAGCGAAAAAAACCCGCGATGAAGCCTAAACAGGAACCTCCACTCTTCCAGTAACATCTCGCCTAGCCTTCAAGGGGAGGTGCAACCGGACGAGTTTTCCGAACTTGATATTAACACTTTGCTAGATTCATTTCATTGCTAGACTCATTTCATGCACACTCGCCTCGCAGCTGCGGCGAACCCCACAGCTGCGGACAAGTCGGCCCGTGCATCTCGTGCAGCTTGGCTTAAGAAGACTCTAGCGCCCTTTTTCGGGCGCTTTCGTTGCACGGGACTGTTACGTTCGTGATTGTCTGCTACCGTCACAGAACCGAAAGAGGACCGCTCACAAAGATTCTGCTGGAGGTTTATCCGCTTTAAACTATGTACTCCTAACCTTCGACATCAGCTAAAGTTGGTTGTTAGTTTTGGAATTTAGCCCAAACATTTGCGGCTATAACAACTGAGTAGTTTCTGCGCCTCTGGTAACCAGGCGCCTAGGCCGATGTCAGACTTCGCGAAATGAGCGATCCGCTAGCGTCCGCGGCCGCGTTGCGGCCAGCGAATCCCTCTGTTGGCTGGCACAATGCAATACGACCATCGGCCCTACATTTCTGCCGTGCATTCAGAACTATTTACTAAGAGCAGCGGACAGCTGCCATGTAGGATCAAAGCATATGTAAGTTTAAAGGTCATTACAGATAGCAGGTACTGTGAGACATGTCCACAACCCCACAAATTTAACATTCTTCTTTAGTGCTATTTTTTACCTGTATGATGCCACTGCTGACATTCGGAAGTCGTCAGGTCGTGGTAGGCAGGTCGAGGTAGCGGTTGGATTGAGGCCTGGTAGCTCACTGAAAATGTTCAATATTGGGGAAATCTGAACCTTTTCTCAACTTGGATGTCCCAGCATTACACTTACAGGGACTGTTGTAGTGGGGATAGAGCTCTCCGGTCCATGGATCGGGCGCCCATGGTGGTATGTCACACGGTAACGTAGGTGGTAGTGGTAGGCTGAACTCCTGTAGTGGCTGTAAATAGGTCTTCACATAATAAGCCTTCACAACCTTCACAGTGCAGGAAGAAAATGAGGTCAAAAAATTGTCTACAAATTCTGCTAGATTTCCTTCCATTGAACGTCATAGCATGCCGTAGTACAATATTTCAGATATTATTTTATGAGGAAGCAGGAAAACAGGAGTCGGTGAGCAATCAGATTGTGGCAAACGACAGAATAATCTAGATACTTGTAGAATTCACACAAGTCGACTCCGCTCATTGAGATATGCTACCTCCAATAATTCACAGGCGTCGTGAAATTGGGCTAAAAATCCTCTTCCTGTGGTGGTCTCGCGACTCGGTTCTGTCTCCAAGTGATTAAATACACCTCCATCCTACCATCCTACCTAACGTACACCTTAATTTCCTTCCAAAACGGCCGTTCCGTCGAGCTGGAAGATGAGGGCACAGTCGAATCGCCATTGATTGAGGGGGTTCGTAAGTTAGGGTTAGTAGTGGAAAGCACGGGGTATGCTCATTCACAGAGGGTGGTAAGCACAATGGTGTCGTAGCCGGAACAGCAGTGCGCGGCATAAAGGATAAAGGATAAAGCTTTTGCCGTTGATCAATGCCGGGATGGAAGGCTTGGTTGGCCCGGGCGACTCACGACCCAGGATTTGATCCCCGGACCGCTCGCGTGGTAAGCGTGCCACTTGCCACTACACCACTTCCGCCCTGTGCGCTGTATGCCATATACAAAATGAGCGCTGTAACGGACAAAGTTAGCATCAAAATCCACTGTCAATTGCTGTTCCAATGCTTAACGTCTAAAGGCGGTACCATGGTCCATCGATTTATAGCTGAACGGTTGAAGAAGCTTGTGGGATACTCGCAGAATCTCGTTCGGGATCTGGGGCAGGTTCAGGGTATAGCCGTTTCACCATGCCAGAACCCTCGTGCAGCCGTTGTTTCACCATCCATCCACCATCTCCCTCATTCATTTCGAGAATTATAACCCCATGAACTTCCCACAAAATGACACCGTGCGAATGAACGACCTGCTTACTGGTTTGTCAATACTTTGCAAAGATCTAAGGGGACAATTTTCTGACAATTTGATCACAGAAGTCCTCCATAAAAACGACAGGTGAGTTATCGTCTGGTTTCTCAGGAAAGGAGTGCTGGGGCCGCAGGAAACGGAGTACCTTTATACTTCCTGGTCCAAAAAATAAAAAAAACGAGAAGAGCGTCGGGTGCAGACCATACACACAAGTGACGACGGCCTCCACAAAATGTAAATGTTTTCTGCCAATGAAATGATTAGCCTGTTTGCAGTTGTATTCTATCAGTTGTCACTAATATCATTCACCAAAAATCAGCTATCACTATGAACCACTACTAACCATATTTATTATACTTGAAGGCGTGACACTTGTGGTGTATGTTCTGCACCCGACGCTCTTCTCGTTTCTGAAAGGAATACTTTATGACTGTCTTGTCATGCACCTGGTGAGACTCACGGAGCGCTTTGCTGTGCGTTCGTCTAAAAACGACAGGTAGTCAAACTTGACAAACCAACTTCGGGCGCCCGCAATGGCCAACAATCAATACGGAGACGATTGGCCTGAATATTACCCCCATTCCCGAAGAAAAAGGGCGTCAGACCAAGTAGCATCGGGAACTTGTCATCTGCCTGCAGAAACAAAACCAAGGAGAAGAAGAAGTCGCGAGAAGACTAACGCTCGGAATTCTGCTCGAATTTCGAAATAAATAAAACCGAAGTACGGTACCCCAGCTACCGTATATCCCAACCTGGTCCTTTTATTAATACTTATGGTTATGATGTTGTAGATTAGATGGCGATGACTGGAATTCCAAATCGAGTGAAAACATAGGCCAACTTAAAGGCAAAAGTCGGGCTCAATAAGGGGGTATTATGGCGATTGAAACTGAGTATAGAGATGCGAAGTGGAACGACAGTGGAGAAAAAACTGAGAAAAACCGTCGACAAGGCCGTTAACAAAACCCTCTTTCCCACTAGCAGTGAAGGAGGCTGGCTTGGGAAAGGCACGTACAAACAAGTTTTCTGTCAGTCGTTCTATCGGTTGATACGGCAATCAACCTAGCTGATTTCACACGTTATGCCAGCCACGCACCACTTCCGGAGGTGGGCGGTCCTGGATTGAGGCGGCCCTGGATTGAAACCGAACGCCCCGGGGCCTTAACGGGGTTTTTCAAGGTGGGAAGTTGCTGCAATGTGTGCAGCTACCCACATACAACCTCCAGGCACGGGAATTACTTCTCTAGCGTGCCTGAGCCCGACCTTTGCCTTTAAAGCTATTCACTGTTTTCCAGATGATCCAAGACTTTTCATCTTAAGGATCTCTAGGCAATTTCGAATTTTTCTTTTTCTTGAAGCATAGAATTCTGACATTTTTTGGGACATGGCCAACACAATTGCAGGAAAAAGAGAGGGGTGCGCTGAGCGACCATACAAGTGGTTTTCTTGCTTGATAAATGAAAGACACTCACCGGTTGTAGCAGGGGCCAATGATCCATTTTTGAAACAAGAGAGGGTGGAAAGAGAGGGAAGTCGTTCTTCAGCGTTCGTGGCCCAGCAACGATTGGCAGTGGAGTGGCAAACGGACTGAAATTTTGACTGGGTTTTTGTTTTTTGGAAGCGCGAACGATCTCCTGGCTGTAGGCTCTCCTAGATTTTCACGTACCTCTCTCCGTCGGTGTCATCTCTGGGTGGTGGCAGTGGAAGAGCGGCTGTTGATTGGAGATTTCGAGGTGATTGGAGGAAAGAGTCGTCAAACGAGAGCAATTTTGCCTTTAAAGATGAGCGCTTCTCCAGAAGCATTGTGCCTTCGACTTCGCTGAAATTCGCATGTTGAGAAACCTATTATTTTGCCTTCCCGGAAAAATTTCATTTCCACGGCGGAATTCTGGAGGTTATGGGCAAGCGAGCTGTAGGAACCTACTTGAGAAGTCGATGGGTAAGCCCGATCGATTCTGGTTTCCCGTTCTTGTAGAACATTCGACAGCTACTCTGTACGAAGTACGTCCGGTGTGATTTTGTGCTCACCAGTCTGTAGATCAATAAACCGCTGGAGCCGTTTTTGATTACTGAAAATAGCAGAGCGTTTCAGATGAATTCCACTTTTGAGCGAATGTCATCACGAATACAGCACACCTTATGATAATTTGGGGTACCTGACAGGAGGCCCGTCTCGCGGCGAGAAGGCAGAGACGCAGACGGGGCAGCGGACGAGTCGCAGCGCGTACTGTAGCGATTTAGCGTCAAGTTAAATAGAATGTACTATAGTACGTCCCACATCGCACAGTTACGCGCTGCGACTCGTCCGCTGACCCGTCTGCGTCCTCCCTGACTTTTTGCCGCGCGGCCGGCCTGCTGTAGGGCACCCGAAAATTTGTGATGAAGTGATTCAGCAACAAACACTCCCACCACTGTCATGCCAATTTCAAACATTGATCCGTTTCTGTAACCAAATGAATCGCATCCGATAACTTCCATGTGCATGCCCCATCACCGGATAATCTGTCCCACAATCACCACCTAAATGATGCAATTTACTATCCAACATTTTCTCGTTCCACCCCTTGATGTTCGAGCACTGAATTTATCCCATTGCATCCGGTCCTCCCAAGATGCCACCTGCTGGAGTTCCTGGTTATGTTGGGCGAGAGGCTTTCAAAAGAAATCCCACAACTCTCACTCCCACCGAGTTGCCATTTACTAGGCGATAGATTTCCCCACACTCATATCAATATACTCATATCAATAACCGAAGATCAATTATCCGCCACTTATCATTCAAAAAATGACCGCTTGAACAAAAGCTTACCTACCGGATTCTCGAAGTGGAACGAAAGGCAGTAACGCCCCGCCAGGTCCGATGGTCAAACTTTTTAGTGCCAAAAACTCTGGACGAAAGCAATCGCTTGATGCCTGTATCTCTTAGGCGAGGAAGGAATTTATGCTGGACGCAAACTGGCACACTCAGACCGCACTTGCGCAGCCTATCGACGCCTCCCCCTCCCACCTCCCCGAAGAGTTTGGTAAACAACGGGGCGGCAGGTGAGACAGGCGACAAGTTGCAGAGTACCAGTTTGGAAGGCTTCTTGTCTTATCACGCTGATCGAATTTTTGAGCTGAGCCAGCAGTTGCGTTTCTGGGGTACTTGATGCTTAGCAAATGGACGGTGACCCACCAATTATGTTTGCAAAGGAAGGGCGAGGGTTGGTGCGGATGAAGGCAACGAACAGGGAAAGACAGAAGATTCTACTCTCTCTATTCCTTTCTCCTCCATCGCACTTCTCTTCATCTCATCTTTTACTGATCTCTATGACGTTTATGATATCTACTCATTCTACGGTGAAGGATTTTGGCCTAACTAGCGCGTGTAGGTCAGCCCTTTCAGCCTCATCGACCATCATGCGCTGTTGAAGAAAGGTATTTCAAGATTGGGGAAAGCACCGACCTTCTTTGTGAGCTTCAGCCAAGCAGACGGCGTCTTCGACATTCACAAGGCTGTAGAACGAGATCGGCAACTCACTCTCACTCAGTTCCAACATAGCATGGACTCTGGAAGGGACGAATTTGCACAGGACCTGTACTCGTTCCATTCCCTGGAACTCACTTGTCGTCCATCGAGACGAGTGTGCCGTCCAGCTGGTGTTTTGTCTTTAGTATTTGGTCCTCGGCAAGGACGTCCGTCGATGACGGGGGAACAAATGGTCCTGCAAATTTTGTCTTTGAAGATGTTGAAGAAATAGATAGGTAGAGTGGATCATGTTCGATGTAAAGGGTAAGCTCTCTTAGCAGTAACTCACGTGCAGACAGCAATCATTCCCATAACCGGACCGGGATTGCTCCTTCCGAGAACATACGACGATGGCAGGCCATGCAGGGACAACAGCTTCCCACGCATATCTATCCGCTGTAAAAAGTTCGTTACAAAAAATGGTTCTGATTTTGTTCTCCGGTTGCAAAAGTTATGCTTCCACATTTTTCTTTGACCTTGGTTCAACTGGGCTGTGCGCGCTACTCCGCACCGCTTATTGAGCCCCACAGTGCTTCTATATGTCCCCTTTCACGGCTATTGATAGCATAATTTTATCTGTTTGTAATGATAAGATTGTTGTGTTTACTGATGGCACACCGGAGTGATAATAAATAAATATGGCTGCAGGAACAGGGATTTTTGATTGAGCTCTGGCCACGTTACAATCCCTGCCTGTAATGATCCCTGCGATTATTTATCCCTTTTTCATTGCTTAACCCAATTAACCTTAGGCTCTGTAAACCCAATTGTAATTCTGCTTATAAGGCATTCGCACAGTTGTGCTACAAGGGGGGGAGGAGAGAGGCGGTCTATAGGGAATGCCACCAAGCGACGGGAGCAGAAATATTTCTTACGCACTTGGCATTCCCTCTTCTCCAACGCTTACTTCTGGGACCAGAGCGCTTCTTGTGAATCCTGACGGCAATGTCAGAAGCTTCCCCTCCAGAGCCACATTGCGCTTAAGCATCTCTGACTGTAGGTAAACTGCGCCCATTGTTGCTGCTTCTTTACGTTCTTCAGGCATGCTTTATACAAATTAGACTCAGTTTCCAACTTTTCTTCTGGTTTATAGGTTCTAGAACCCGAGGTCTTAATTTTATTTTGAACGCTGCCCAAATAAATAGTAAAGCGCGCTCCTGCCGCGTGTATGGTATTGGAGGGGGTGGGGGGGGAGGGTAGAGGGCGAGGGCTCAATCATGGCTTACTCGGAGATGCATACCACCTTGCGAAAGCAGTTGGTCCCGGTCCCTCATCCAGCTAACCGGGGTGTGCACCTTACCATTTTTCCACCCACTTCGTTTTGAGGAAGGAATCACTGATTACTCATATTATTCCGAGAAGGAATGGAGGAAATGTTTGCTGTTGTTTCCAAGGCATATTTAGATCTCTCGCTCCAAATTGTGTAGAGTTCTGAATATTCACTGCCGGGCGATTTTGCCTCAGCCCGATTCGTGACGTTGTTCCCATTGCGTGCTGTGCAATGGAGCGCCTATATACCATGTGAGATGGGAAGGAGGGGGGGGGGGTGCAAAAAGGGGTATTAGGACTGAGAGATCACTCGCAGCATATGGAACGACCAGAACAATTGCATACCATTCTATGGCCACGAGGTCTAAAATATTGGTACACATATCAGGCAAATTGTTTGCTAGAAGCTGTTAACTGTTGAAAGGGAATGGCTGCAAGGCGAGGGCAGAAACGTGCGAAACCGATGTTAAACTCTCATGTACTGTCATTCGGCTGTCAGTGCTGCGAGAATTACGGTGTTATCCTACGTCTAGAAGCCTCCAGAAGAGTTCTAATCGGCTAAAGTGTAACTGTTCAAAATAATTACCAAAAATCCACAAGTGTTGTCGAGGAGACATCGAAACCGGGCGTTCACATTGCGTTCAAGGTGTTGAGAATTTTCTGCAAGAAAACAGGTTGGTATTCGTTGCAAATGGGTGGGCTACCACCCTTACCTTGTTCATAGAGATCCTGGGGATTGGTGCTTCCCGGTGGTAGCGAATAGGCCAGATTCAGTTGTTGCCTGATATCGTCACGATCTTCTGAGTGGATCAGGTCGTAAAGGGGTTGATGGAGAACATCACTCTGTAATAATGGGGTAGAATTGATGGCATTGAATTATTTCGGGTACCCGTCAGAGAGGCCCGTCTTGCGGCAAGAAGCGGGATCAGAGGACGAGTCGTAGCGCAGTGGATGTGCGATTGATAGGACCTACAGGCGTGACTCAATATCATTTTTGACGCGAAATCACCACAGTTAGCGCTGCCAACTCGTGCTGCTGACTCTTTTCTTGTGCCGCGACGCCTCCTGTCTGGCACCCAATTATTTCACATCGAAACTCGTTCAGAGAAGGATTCCACACGTATGAGTTAAAAGAATAAAAATCAGTAGAAATACAGAATTTTGCCCATAATCTACTGGAACTTGTTTTCATTAATTTTTGTAGCATTCTCGAGGAATTTGAGGTGGGGGTGGGGTTGCGGCATGGGTGAATAAACAATCTTTGCTTCTCATGCAGTGCTAAAAGATCGTTAAGAAGAACGGCTGACGACTTGAAAAACCTCCCTGACGGGCGAGGAGGGTGGCTTTTGTGCCCCAGTCCCGAAAATCTCGGGCTTTAAAGTGTCAGTAGTACCCCGAAATGTACCAGTATCTTTTCTGTCCAAAAATCATTCGGATAGGATCTGTGAAAAGCAATGGGCAATGAAATGTTACTACCACATTTTCGAGGCACGCAATGTGACCAAGCAAAAAAGTAGCATGCTAGCAGTTGGGGGCTCCCCCACTTTCTTCACGATTTGGGGCGCGGCCGCGGCGAGCGCGGACGAGTCGATAGTGCCCGCGAACTGTGCGGGTAGGTTTGAAAACACTCCATCAGCACAGTTCGCGGGCACTATCAACTCGTCCGCGCTCGCCGCGGCCGCGCCCAGTCATTGATGCAACAAGAAAGGAGAATACCTGATGAAAGCCAAGAAAGTTCTCGATATTCTCTGAGGCATAGTAAATCTCTCCATTGTCGTTGATTATCAACAAAAAGCCTCCAAGTGACTGAAACACATTCTCCCATTAATCTGAATAAGGTCATTCAAAAACCGTCTTGTAATGTACCTTCAGAGCGATCGTCTCGAAATCGGCCTCATTTGGGTCGATGAGCGCTTGTGACGTTCGGCTATGGTATACGGTAGGTATTGCGGAAAATATCGCCGATTGTGGACAGTATGCGTAGGCATGTGTGGCCATAGGAAATTGACAGATGAACGGCGACGAGTTGAGGCATGCTGAACGAACTGAAGTAACTCGACTGTAGCATGGATTGGCATGCTGTCACCAAACGCGTTGCGCTGAACTCGTTCATACGTCCGCTTTCTGAGCTGTTACCTGTTCATGAGTGAAAACCAACGGCCAAAAAAGGGGTCCCGTTTTGCGTTTTCTTGACGGATTTCTCCGCTTTTTTCGCTACTGGCGTACACTGAGCACCACCAGTCTCCTATAAACCCTTCTTGAATCTATCGTAATCACTGCCTTTAATTACCGCCCAATGGAATCGTTGCCGCCTGAGGTCATCCCATCCGCTTTAAATTGAATAACGATATCGAGATTTCAAAAGGATCCATTGAAATCATTACAATTAACTTTGTTAAGGAGTGAATAAATGAAACACTTGACGACTTTCAGAGGTCCATCGATGGCGTTAAGGTCTACTCAGAAGAACGAGCCGTCATGGTAGCTTATTTCCCCAGCGATTCCCCCTTCTGTGATGGAGTGAAGGTGAGCAGAACACGTGTTGTCAGGATGGATTTCGGCGATAAATTTTCATGAAGTCGTAATTCTCGGACAATTAGTCATTTCTGGCCACGGCCCGCGCGCCCAGTGCTGCTGTACCGTCGTCTCGACCGGCCATCTGTTGCCAGAGCATCTCAACCAATTAATTATTAACTCCCCCATCCTCTCGAAGATGTTCCCGTCAGTTACACAACATAATTGCCTGATCAAAAGTACCGCTAAGAAGAGTTTTATCCAGTGCATGAGTGGAGACAATCCTCCAGTTCCAGAAAATCTCCAGGGTCATTGCAGAGGAGATCCCTGGAGAATCGCCGTGACCATGAGAAGTCGTCAGACGTCAGAAGGTGTGACATGGCGCTTGTTCGTACGTGGCGGAGCATGTTAAGGGGGCGGTGTAGAGGGCAGCCATTAAGTCGATCCATGCCCAGCATATCGATGACAGCCATCAACCACATTACCGTATACGGCCATCTGATGGGCGCCTACTGATATTACCCCGATGACGTCTTACCTGTGGTCTATTGACTTCAGTCTATGAAAAATTGATGGAGATTGGGTAGGAGTTGTTGTTGGTGGAGAGGGGGTGGCGGGGAAGCTGAGGGGAAGGGGTGGAATCTCAATCTTCGTATTTATGAGTTTTTGAATACTCATCATCAAGTTACTTATTCGAACAATTTCAGCCTACCCCGGGTTTTAAATTACCCTAACGTTGTCAGGAACTGCTTTATTAACCCGCTATCCCCCATATGGCCCAACAAGTGTTCCAAGTGACCTCCTTCGCGGATCATTGTATAGAGGATACGTCTGTTCGCGTGCGTGTGCCGTCGGTGGCTGTCGGCTGCCAAATCTGACCGAGTCAGTGTGTGATTATGTCACAATACACGACTGGACAATGCACAAAGGTACCGCTAAACAATAGCATAACGATTACGTAAATAATGCAAACTTTGGCGCTATAAGGGCAGGATACAATGACTCCTGTTGAATACAGTATCCTCAAGAATACTTTGAAGGTTTTAAGCTATCAAAACTAAGCAGTTATTTTGGAAGAAGTAGGGAATATTACCCTAACCTCGAGCAAAGTCATTATCTATCCACCATAAGCACAGTGGAAATCATTTCGTACGGAGGGGCGGGACGGGGAATTCAAGAACTGACATTTGAAATCCGCGGGTGATGGCCAAGCCAGACTGAGCCCTGTGAGGGAGGAACTTTCAAGCGAGCATAAAAAATTGACTGTTCTCTCGCTGAAATCGCCTTGTCCTCCCTAAAGCTACCCAATACTGTGTGTGGCTCGGAATCCCAACCCACACTCCAACGGAATGGGCGCCAGCGAGAATTTGCTAACTTTACGGTTGATAGTAGATATAGGCATGTATTTGAGGAAAACAAAATGTCGGCCGTGACTCTTCGTTTTTTCTGAGAAGAGGTGTTCTCAACCAAAAATAAATAAGGCGGCATCGTAACTTCGCTGTCTTGGGTTCGAAAAGTTATAGTTTTGAGATCCTATCCCCAGCTAAAGGAGGATACTACGAATGCTAAACCTTAGGAGGGGAAAGAACTCCAGGGGAATAGAAATTCTCTGCACTCTGAGAGTGTTGATTCTCCGTTCAGTCTACCTCCCGTTCAGAAGCTTTTTAGTATCCTTCTTAAACAAAATGGAGGTGGTTGTAGGCCAGTTTGAACACCACAATGGCCCCGTATCTTTTGCGATAACGCTTAGTTTTGACTCATCGAACTAACCATGGAAGTGTGCTTTGACCTGGAGAAAGCTGACGGCCAGCCGTAGAACACTGAGTTTATCCAGCCGGCTGATCGTGGCCGAATCGTACGGCAACAGAGCGGCCACCGTTTCCAGTTCGCCATTTAGTCGTTCTCGATGTCGCTTCGACGGATTTGTCGACGTTGATGGCTTTGGTGGGTCTCTGACTCTAAAAGACATTGAATGCGTACTGAGCGAATCACCTTTCATAAACTTTCCATAGCAAGGAAATAAAACCTCTTTGAAGACCGAAAAGCAATCACAAAGGAAAAATAGAGGTTGACGAAAATGATAAAAAAAATTTGGAGCATTTCACTTCGATCTGATGAAGTGTTTATGATAGCTTTCAGCTCCTCTTGACGAAAATCCAAGTAAAATAAATTGGGAAAAATGACTTGTCAAACAGCCATTCAGAAACGATGAGCCAGAGTGTTGCAACTAGTCAGAAGCCCCTTTTGAAGTCAGTCCGACCCTACACAAGTAAATCAAATTCAGAATGGTTATGATCATAGATAGCTTGGAATAAAATGCCTCGCACTAACGCCTCTTCTATCTTGAACATGTTTCTATGATACAGAAAATAATTTATATAGGAAAAATATAAAATGGTCATACGGGTCGGAATTTCAGACTTAGTGCGTTTAGTTACGTTTTCTCTCAAAATATTCTTCTATAGGACGGAATTGGTGTAGTGGCATGTGTCGATGCCCATCAGATGGTCTTGGAATGGAATATGTATTGGATCGTATGTTGTCCGAGCCAACGCCCAAAGTCGGGACGATCAATTGGTACCAGACTTGTCTGGGAGGATAAAAACACTGACTTGTACATCGGCTGGCCCCCGCAAGTCATTGTATAGGCCACATCGCATTCAAATGCCACTACGAATGTACAAATGGAAGTAGAATGCGTGCCGCATCCCAAAAAGGGATTGATCAACGGCAAATGCTTTATCCTCTTATTATGCCTTAATATGCTGAATCTGACTAGGGTGGAGCTCTACCAACGACTTCTCTCGGGTCTCGAAAGAAATGGATGGCCTAAGTTTCGTTCACCTCATGACTTTTCAAAACTCACCCCTCACCGAAAATGCGGAACCCATTTTTCATTAATTGCGGTGGTAGTCCCACGTCTGTTGAAGTACCGTGTTCGTTCACAAATGCATGTTTACTATTCTGGTTCTTATTGCCCAACAGCCCCCTACATAAGCGAATAAATCAACGTCCGTGAGTTGTTTCGATTGAAAACGTCTGAACTCGGCTGGTGTCATCGTGCTCATCTTTACACCACGAAATAATATAGAACCTACACATATCAACACGATCTACGCTGGGACAAACGTGGAGAAAACCGACAAAAATCCAATTGTAGTCTCATTTTCCCACGGTACGCGGGATCGTTGAGTTTTTTCGACGAGCAGGTGAGCTCTGCCTCCAAATGACATGTTTATCGCGCTTACGATGAGATCCTCCTCCAAGGCTCTTCATTGAAATATTCAGAACATCATTCGGCAGTTTCCTCAGCGAAATGAGAGACTGCAGTTGCGCTCAGAACGAGTTTTTCCAGAGCCCCACTCGAGTGAATCTGGATGGTCGTACGGTGGTCTCCATGCCGACGGCAGTGGTGAATATTTTAGAAGCTTTGCGACATCTGCACAGCCGTCGTCAACGATTTTATAGTAGTCAGCAGATAACGACATCCAATAGCTACTTAATGGATTCTGGGCGACTCAGTACGGGAAGATCCCCTTTTTCGTTTTATTCATGTGAATTGCTTCTATAACAAGGGCCAAGGGTTATGGTACATAACTGAGCAATATTCCAAAATATTCTCAGATTCCAAAAGTAAATAGGAAAAACGACGAAAATCGCTGACAAACATACAAAAATGTCCCAGTTGGCTCTTGAAGCTCGTATCCCTACCTTATTGTTTACAGCTCTAAGGAGGTTACTAGCTTCTGGAGCGACGATCACAGAGGGGTTGCGTAGGTCCAGTGCGTTGTAAGCTGAACCAGAAAGCTAGATGGCCGGCGAAATTAACGTGCGTGTTAGTACGATAGTGGTTCAGAAGTGGCGCCGAAACTTTCTACTTGTCCAAAGTAATCCGCAAAATACTGAACTATTGGGCCCAAAAGTTTCGCCCCTAACCGGGATGCCTACCCGGAGGATTTATTGCTCTTATGGCAATTACTAATGGCAATGCATACGAAACATTCAAATGTTTCTTGTGCATATTTCCTTTCTTCGTTTGAATAAGGACAGGAGAGTTAACTGAAGATTATTCCCCCTTATATTCCACTGAATCTTGGTATTCCGCTCATTTTTGTTAGGGGACAATTCAAGTGCACAACTCACCATACAATGCTTGCAGATTCTAAGCCATAAAAGGAAGGGAAGGGGCCTGGGGCTAGATCCCGAGTACTGTAGGAATGTGAGTAGTTTTTGTTCTCCTTGGCGCTTCTACCTTCTCCTGTGCTTAGTCCTCGTGTCACCTACCAGCGATTTTCAGATGCCCTGTTTTGAATGTCCCCCCCCCCCAACGACATGGGCGTCTCTTTAATCCTTAAGTCTTGAGTATTCGAAAATGGCAGGCGAGGCGAAATAATGCACGAAAAATCTTTTGAAATTACTTTTGACCGCCCTCAAGGTTGACAACTAGTCACTGAGCAAATCCTGAGGAACCTCGACTTCCTACCTTTTTTGGGTAAATGGTTACAAACTTGCTCAATCTGACTAGAACCCTATAATTTCTGGGGAAACTTCAACCATATTCTCCGCACAATTAAGCGCCGAAAGAAAACCATTTCATAACAGTTCTCGCTTAGTTGCTGAATGCCATGAAATCGTTCTTATCTTCCCAAAATTACACTTACCAGATCCCTTATGTGGCCAAGTTTGCCCAGTAAACGCCTTGTTTTCCTCTGAGAAGCTACTTAGTGGATAAATTATGGATAGGCGTCAGACTGGGCCGTCAACAGGTGGGAAGATGAATTTGCGATCAACGCAATGAGGTGTAAAAGTGCATGATAATTGCCCGTGCGGTAACGATCCCCTACAGTAGTTGTTCTGCCAGAACCACGTAGACATATTTGGGGCAGATGGGGCCCAGAAGGGACTTTTTCTTATCTCTGTTCACAATTGATGAGCTTCGGGAAGTTGGAAACTTTTAAGGGCTATGGGATGGATTTTCAAGAGCACACAAGGACAAAATTCTAGGAAAAATCGATAAAAGAAGAGAAAAATTCAA